GTTTTGCCAACGCAATGTCGAGAAGGCGTTGAATTTGGAGAATATGTCCTATGGAACGTAGTTGCGCCACATTGATTGGAACAAAAACCAAATTGAATGGAACATTGCACGTTTTTTGTAACAATTTTGTTTGTTTCGAATGTTTTTTATTTTTTATGGCCACTTTGATTGGAACAAAGTGCCAACTTGATCGGGAAAAGGTGTAGTACTTTAAATGTCAAGTATTTCAACGAAGACCTGTTTCTATTATTAATAACGTTATGTTTATTAATAGTACTGTAGATGTTGCCCACTCAAAGTACGGGTGAAGCCCTAGTCGCTGTCTTTCTCGTGGTCCAATCAGAACAGTGAAATTAAACGTTGGGCAGCTGACATTCAACTTTGTATTTTACCTCCATATATATTTGTCATGTCCTTCTCCTCAAACTCGGGCAAATTACGTTGGACGGCCCAATTTTGCTCGAAATTGTCCGTAGTACCGACAATTTCGAGTATGATGCATGTCATCTTCCGGTATTAGAGTGAGTTTTCACCAAGAATCCACATGAATTAATAGAGTGAGATTAACTGTAAATAGAAACTTCCTACATTTCACAAAACCGTCTGGCTGCTATTTCATAATCATTTCTCACCATTGAAGTAATACGAGACGTACCTTCGACAGATCTAGTCGTGCTGAAGAGATGTTACGTCTCAAAATCAAATTTAGCAAAGAATTGGTCGAGTAGTAGACTTTAAACCAAGTGGTATTTTTATAGGCCAGTAGATTTTGGCCACGAAGGTTACCTTGATTTAGAGCTGTATCCGTACATCGTATCCGTAGGCCATTCACCTTGGCCCAACGATTGGTAATTTAAATACTCGCAAATATTATAAAATATTACATGTTTGCCTTGATTCATTCTACTGTTTTGGTGGTCGCCAACAACCACATACATGGTTTAGTTTTTCATATGCTGAATTATCGTGTTTTTCACTCGTTTTGGCTATTCACACCATAAGCCTGGGTGTTTGTTACATCGACCCCAGTGTTTTAAGGGTGCGTCTGGCAATCCGTACTGTGAATTAGGATCATGTTTCGTTACAGAATGTAATTATAGGGAGGTCATTTATGCAACTCCCTCGCTTTTGCACATTTGAAAAGTGCAAATCGAATATTCTCGGGACCAAATTGCACAATTCACTGGTCATCATGAACAACTTTTGATATTACAAATGACACACAGCCATGGACATAGCACAGGGCATGCGCCGGTGTTGTACCGTACAGCAATGTACGTATGGTGCCACATCGTAGAAAACCACGCCATCTTCTTGTTCCATCGTATAGTACATGCAGGTAGCGTGTACTACGCGATGGAATAAATGGCCAAGGTGTTTTGATCACTTCAGCATCACATGTGATTATTATTGCTCAGAGTTATTTCGCATTTATAAAACACCAGTGAATTAGCTAAAACACCAGGTATTTATTCAACCACTTCACCTAATTCAAATTTAAAATAGTGATGTAGACCAACAATTAGGCCATATCAAGGAGTTTAGACGAGTGAATATGCATACTTTCCACCCAATGTTGTTTTGGACGGTGAAATCGCTTTGAATGTCATATTTTTATTGTAATAACATTGAATTTAATAATGCAAGGATTTCCTTTTGAAATTAACTTGCACTTGTAATCGTCAAATTAGATCTAAACTAGATTACATCACACAGATTAGATCAAATATTCATTCAATCCTGGGGGTGCTACATCGAAGTACATTGAGATTTGATTCCCCTCTGGTGTGGCAGTTAGTCAGGAGTGTGAGCACATGCCACAGGATTCCTACTGGTGCATTGCGAACATTCATCTTTCTGTCGTAGCTTACGAAACACCACAACCCTTTTACCAGGTGAAAGCTCCAATCCACCGATTCCCGGACGGAGTTCATGGACGAGTTGAAAATAGCCTCGAGTGATCCTGGAATAGCGCAGGGAAATGGGCAGATAGGGACTAGCGGCATTCATATGCTGGGTCGTCATACAAACCGTAGTACGACAGAACCCCGTTTTCCTTCATCCTGTCCAGTATGCGGCTCATGGAGAGCATGCTGGAATCGTGGCGCCGCCTCTCTACCGACCCGTACATGCTGATAAAGATGCACAGGAACGTTGATGCCTTGCCAGTTCAGAAAATCGCGACGGGGGTGACTGTTGTACACCGAACGTTGAAGGTTCTCGTGCTCTTAACCTTCTGCTCGCCCCGACGGACGGCTGATGCACTGCTTCGTCCGTTGGACGGCTGATGCACTGCTTCGTCCGTTGGACGGCTGATTTACTGCTTCGGAGTTGGTCGATAGTGAACCAGAACTTGTGCGCTGCCTTGGCGTTGTGCATGTCACGGTCAAAATTGTTGTTGTACGAGACTATTGGCTTCTCGGGCCTCAGTCTCATGAATTCGGATGCCATTACAGGGAACTTCAGAATGCAAGGCCTACCGAAGTATTCAACATTACAGCCGTAGTTTTGTCCAATCAAACAATTTCGTTGAAATTCTTGGTTTTGATTGGATATATTTTTATTATCCCGCCCGCGCGCATTTCAATAATTTCAAACCAATACTATTCCATGGCGCGCATCATGTACCCGATAGCTTTCAAGCTCCAGGCCCTGGGCCTCCTTGAGACAATGAGCGTATATCAGGTCGCTACTGAACTTGGTGTCGCCCGTCGAACTCTGCGAAACTGGGTCACCAAACGCGCTCAAATCCTTGTGTACAGAGGCAACAAGAAGCGCATGAAACTCACACCTGGCGGCCGACCCGAGGTGTTTCCGGACCCACCTGGGTTGCTTGAGTTTATCCATGGATTACGGGACTCTGTACGAGCCCTTACTACGATCCATATGGTGAAGCGCAATCAACGCGAATGGCTCGTGTCGTACTTGGTGGACAAAAAGCCAGGCTGTGGGTACAACTCACTGCTTCTTCTGCTACAACGCTTTTGCAAACGTCATGGTTCGACTCGCACGTGTCCGAAGCATCCTACAAGATCATCAACGAAGAACTCGGGTCGCATCTCTGCCCCTTACCTCCAAACTCAACGTCGATATGCCAGCCCCTTGACGTCGGCGTGATGGCGCCCTTCAAGCGGTACCTACGGGAACTGTGGTTGTTTGAAGACATCATCACAGGAGAAGACGAGGATCCATTTTCACTCACCGCCCGGCAGAACAGGTTGGCGTTGATCAAGAGAGCTGTCGCTGCTTGGGAGATGGTGTCCACCGACGCTATCCGTGGCAGCTTTGAAAAGGCACTTCCTCAGGAACCAATGGATTAATTCGTTTTTATATTATCTGTTGTGAAAGTTCAGTATACTTGGAATTTGTATGTTTTTTAATAAAAATTGGAAAAAGTTTGACACTCCCCGGGAATTGAACCCGGGGCCCTCCCTCAATAATGTTATGCCGTCGCACTAAACCGTTGCGCCACTGCGTCAAACGCTTACGCTTCTTCCGTGTTTACCATATAAATCATTGTACAATATTATACCAATAGTTTTAATACCACTCTATTCTTGAATGACCTCCTGAATTACAAGTTTGATTTCTTACAGTCAAACAACATCATTGTAAATTTGACTCATAATTAAATTTCCTCTATAATTTTAATAGCTCTTTCAAAGATCTGAATATTATTTTGATGGGCCAATGTCATTGGCAGAAATATACACCGTACTTCGAAGTACATTTCCCAATCAAAATCTGTTATTTCCATCCCACTCGAAGATAAGGTAGGCCTTGCATTCTGAAGTTCCCTGTAAGCCTTGACTTACGGTGAGAAACATGTCGAAATCACCATGGCACTGCTGCATTACGCAGGCAATAAGGGACACCAGCTCTCTATTGCGAAGGATGAGCGGTTGGGGCATTTTTGACCAGTAACGTAATCCGGATAATCTAGAAGTTAACTCAAAACCTTTCCGAAAGTACTGATATTTTCGTCAAAGTTGAGATTTAGATCTGCCCGGAAGTTTGAATTTCTGTTCACTTCCACAAGTTGAATCTTAACTGACAGTGAAAAGCTCTTACGAAAACTCTCTAATACCTATTAGAGATTCGGTATGAATTTCCGGACCCCGTTGAATCGAATCTCGCCGAGCGAATCGAGCACCAATCTCTCCCATTGGTCAATCCAAAATTACTTGTTGCTGATTGGCTACAATCCATTTTCGAGTTTCGACTGGAAAGGGAGAAGTGGATAATGGATCAGATGTCTCGGCTCTATTTGAGCTCGATTGAACGAACCATGCAAAATTGGGAAATTTGAAGAAAATCGACAATACTACTCTGTGCTTAATATAATGTATTAATATAATGCACATTTGGTTTGACCAATGAGAGTCACGAAACAAATATTTTCAGCCAATCAAAGCAAAACCAGGTGTTTCATCGAAATACATCGATATTATTGGTGGATACCTACCAATCAAATGCTGTAGATAACGTACTGCATCCATTTAATTGGCGGAAAAAATCTGCTGATCAGATTAGGGTGGGTGTGATAAGTGGTTGCTATTACTTCGAAGTATGTCATTTATGATCGAATCGCTTTATTAAAATAGCAGGAGGGTCACTCCATTTTCACTTGTTTCATGCCAAAACTTGAGTCTTCCGAATAAACCTGTATAATTGGATATTAAGTATCGGATTATATAGGTAAATACACCAGAATTGGGCGATGGAACGTCGCTTATGGCTGTATGTCGGCTCAGAGATATGGTGCGGGCGATTTCAATGAATAGCATGTAGCATTCAATCTTTAGGTTCACTCAACGGAGTATGAGCTCTCGGAGAGTTCCCTAGTAGAAATAAGAGCATGGCGCGGACACCGCCGTCCTCCCATCGTTAGTGGAGCTAAGAGCAACTCCACTCGTGAGTTGCTCTTACGAATAAATCGAATGAGATTTATTCGGATAATGTACGGATAGCAGCGAGATTTAATGGAGCCCCAGGGATAAATCTCAATTTCCCCGCCCATGAGATTTATTCCGATTCACACACACAGGCCACCGCACTCTGACTAGATGTAGCTGCTACGAGTGCGGCAACAAATGAAACCCACATGACGACTATCACATCATATTCAATCAAACGTTATACTAGAAATCTATCATGTCGAAGCGCATGCCGCAGTTCGACGCTGCAAATTATCTCACTCGTCTAAAAACAGGGCACACCCTTGAGCTTATGAATTATCACAGCATGCGTATTCTCATACCATGAGCCAACTGTGACGAGGACTCTGACAAAACAATCTACGTGGTGCTCACTAATTCGTTTACCCTGGTGATGCTGCCATCACCGCCCTCACAAACGGGGCGACTTGGTTGTCGCTGCGATGTTAAGGGCTGTGGTGACGGCGTCAGCAGAGTGGACACATGACCACTCAATGTAGCTGGGCAGTCGGTGGCGTTCAGAGGTCCAATTAAGCATCGACAGGTGTTATCGTACATGTGCACAGTTCACTGGACGCCGCCGTCGCATCACGTGGTCGTTGCTTGTCGTTCAACATGCGCGTTGAGTTCAATAAAATGGTAATTTTATGTATATTATGTGAAGGAACTTCATTTTACTCCACCAAATACTGCTTTGGATTAATAATTTTGATATTATTAATACTATGAATCCGGATAGTATAAATCTGATGGATTAATCGAGGCGAAAAAGTCCTATTATAGAACTTTCTGCGGTCAGATTTATGTTTGGATCTTTCAAATATAAATCTGACCCCTATAAAACCTGCTGGTGGGAGCAATAAGTCCGGGATGGTCCTATCTAAGGGTTATCCATATAAATCTGAGCTATAACTCCGACCGGTGGAGTTGCTCTAATGGACTGCACGCAGGTTAAACTGCGTTGTACGCCAGCGAAAACTTTTAGGAGAGATGTATAATGCTACAGGAATCAAAGTGTATGTGATCTAACGACATCTTCATAGCCTGGCGGGTGAAGCACCAGTTGTGACGTCGTACCGTCAAAACTAAGAACGACCTGGAAATAACCAATCAAAGAGGAGATCCTACGCTATCGATTGCACCGATCAGAAGCAAAAACGGTGAAGTACAGCCATCCCCCGATTTTTGCAGCCCCTACCAAATATAGTTTTACGGAGGTACTTATATGCAAGGGTTATATGAAGTCTTGGAGGAGTATACCTTCACACTAGATAAGGATATTAATCACATTCGATGAGCAAAAACTAATCGTAAACATCCGAATACCCTACACGTTTTGTGAAATGTGGTCGCACAATTTCTCAAAGCAAGTACACTCTCATTCTTACAGTAGAAACACTAACAACTCCTAGCTTGTTATCCAGTGCTCGAATTTATTCCGACAGCCATGTCATCGTGTATGTCGAGTTAACCACTTTGCAAGGATTTGCATGGCAAATGGACAACGCTCGTGATATTGTGATATGACTTGGTGCTGGCACCGCATTTGAGTTCCCAGTATTAATTTTTCAATATCCTGTTAAATTGAATATTCCATGGGATTACACAGGATATTCGTTTATACCAGGCTGCAAAAATCGGGGGATGACTGTAGTACAAAAATACCACCAATAAGAAATCGAATGTGACAAGCAGATAATGCAGTAAGACTTAGTCGTAGTAGTCAAAATCTGTGCGACTATACTTTTAATATTAATATACGGTATAGTTAGTACTGTATGTATATATTTATTACTCCGGAGTAATAGTATAGTTAGTACTGTATGTATTACTATATCCGGTACTACAGTATTACTAATTTATTCAGATTGGAAAGACGAAGACAGTTGTGTGTTGGTTTTCATGTCGTGTGCCATTGTGTGTACAGGTCGTCCCGTCGTGCATTGCAGTATTACAGTAGTAAGCAACTTATATTGGTTGTTGCATTACAATTTGGACGTGGTCAGAAGAACCGCGTGCTGTTTCGTGTGCGCTGCCAAGACCAGATCGAGAAATACACCCACGGCGTCGTTGTACGCTACCGTTCGAGGGGATCGAATGCAGTTGAACGCGTGGTCGGCTTGAGGCAAAGGAACAAAGACATCAGGCACTGCGTTTACCCGCCCCGTGACCTGCCGGTGGCGTTGAAGCGCGTGGAAGAACTCGCAGGTGTCTTCGATGGGGATGACAGAGTCAAATATACCGTGGACGCACAGAAAAGGCGGCACCACACTCGACGGTGTGTGCTGCAGCACATGGTACAAGGGCGACGCGCGTTCGAAAGCTGGTCGGTTCACACACAGCCGGGTGTTCATGAGCACAGCTTCGACGTAATACCGGCTCTTCTTGCTACGACAGAAATATATATATATATATATATATATTGTGAATAATCGATTATTCCAAATTGGAGAATGACTGAAGAGAAGGAAGGAATTGAGCAACCGTCCAAGCCAATCAAATCACGTTTGGGTGAAAAATTTCGACCAATCCAATGCACTGATTGATTGTCAGTCTAGTCGTTTTGCATTAGGCAAAACAACCTGATATATATATATATATATAGCAGTCAATGTACAAGCTGAATAGGGTCAAATGCTATTGGTTAGATGACTCACTCGAAAGTCCAAATAATTTGGGTGCGAAGCGGTGATTGATGATGTTTGATCATAAGTACACTAGAATGAAGAAGACGCCACGTACGCAACATCTATTCGCCCATAATGGCCGAAGCGGTCTGTGAGGTCGTGGGTTCCGTACGCATCTACGCACGCTAATACCGAGCAGTCGGCGTTTTCAAACCCAGGTTGAAACGTTCTAAATACAAAAAAGACGTTTATGAGACGTCTCATACGACGACACACACGTACTTGTCGTCCGCGGTGACAGCCACCAGCGATGCCAAATGCCCGCCCGCCGATTCGCCGCAGACGACGATTTTCCTGTTTGTAATAACATATTTTTAAAACGAAACAGTGTTGAAAAAGCAAAAAAATATAATTGTACGAAGTGTCGGCTTGAAGGGATCGTGCGGACGATCTCAAGTAGGCCACGGCGCGTTTGCAATCGATCAAGTGGTCCGGGAAAGCTACAAACGGAGCTTTGCGGTAATCTATGGCGCAAAACAGCCAGCCTTTTCGCCCAACCTACTAGTAGTTAGGCTAGTAGTATTGTTGTCTAAACTGGAGCGACATGGAGAATGAATTGACACAACCAAATTAAATGTACAAAAGAATCATTGGCAGAAGGATTTATCCAATCAGATTGCAGGAAGCCATCGTCAACGTAAAATTAGTGTGTGACTTCAATTAGTGTGATACCAATCACCACAGGACACCTTTTTACATACAAAATTCAGTGCAAAGAATCGGTCGATAGATTTGGCGAATCAGCACACAAGTCCAAATTTTGGGTAAAAGGATAATTGATAATTGTAGTTTGTACGACGAGTAGGACTAAAGTAGTCCTCCTTACTGCGTGCAACAACGTGGATGGAATGGTGGCCTTGGAGCCCAAGAGCCATCCGCCGCCATGGATAAACAACAACACGGGAGGCATCTCGCCGCAGTTTTCGTGGCGGTAGACGTCCATTTGCAGCGCATGGGGCAGCCGCTCGCCGACCCAGCCATAGGCTACGGTTTTGATCGATCCTGGGAACCGTAACGAAAATGGCAGCGGGTTCCACAAACTCCACCAATCGCTCCATGAACGGTTCCCAATTCGACTCTTGGCGTCCGCGGAAGACAACACGCCGCTGTCGACGAACGCGCGTCGAAAATACGCAGCGCTGCCAAAGTTGGCCACTGCCAGCTGCACCAGGCGGCCGACGAGGAAGGCGTGCGCAGAGACTAGACCAGCGTCCTGCCAAGTGGTTATTTGTGAGCATTTTCGGTTGGACAGCCGTCGAAGCCACGTTGCTATGCCCACGACGTTGCCGACGACAAGCAAGTGAGCGTACTCGCCCGTCAGCATTTGCCAGAAGAATCCGTCCATACCCTAGGAATTTGATCAGATGCTGCTTGTGAGGTTTCTGGTGGAGAGTACATGCCTCTAGTATGGGCGATCGCCGCTGCGTGTTATGGACCACCCGCAGCATGATCAGGAGGTACACGGTGTGGATTGCCTTTGAGATCGACGTCATCGTGCTTGTCAAAATGGAGCAAAAATACAAAGTCTCATTCATTGGCTGTATAATAGTTTATTTATAGCGAATCAAACGGTGTCAACACCGTATTAAATTGTAAAGGTTGGTTGAGTGCTTCGCATATCCAATCGCACAGGTGTATGAAACATTCACACAAATGATTGGTGTAAATATTCAAGGGATATCCAATCATAATCAATGCTGTGTGAATGTATGTGGTTGTCGCGTTGTTCCGTGCTTGTATTTGGCGAGTGACGATGGCAGGTGATGCGGCTGCCGTCACGGCGCCTTTGCCGACGTCGGTGGCATCCACTGCTCCACATGCACGAGGACTGGTGCGTATCCTTCTTCAACTTGAGGGTGCAACCTTACTCGTGGCTTGTGTGGTGGCGTACTACCGACTACAAGGCAATTGGTGGGTGTTCGCGGCGGGGTTTTTCGCCGGCGATCTGCTCTCTGTCGGGTACGCGTTTGGACCTGCCGTCGGCTGCACAATGTACAATACGTCGCACACGTTTGTTGGCCCTACTCTGATGGCGACTCTGTACTTGCTCTGGACCGACCACACATGGCTTGGGTTGGTCGCTGCCATTTGGGGAGCCCACCTCGGTTGGGAGCGCTCGTTAGGGTACGGATTGCGGTACCCCGATGGGTTTACAAGCACGCACATCACTGTGGACCAAGATCCTGTCGAGTATGTGCAGCACCTATTGGAACCAACGAAGGCCACCAACGAAGGCACTGCCAGGTCTGGGATTTCCACAACCACAGTGCCGAATTACCAATCCACCGCTCCTGCTACTGCTCGAGACGACCAAGTGTAATCTTACATGTAAATACTCCTGGTAACGTTACTATATGTGGTGCTGTTCAAAACTGAACACAGCGAAATGTTGAAGCCAGCTCAAATCCAAGAGTAGGACAAGAACTCACACCCATCGAGCCGAGTTCGTAGCGAGTTCTGCCGTCAGCGGTATTTCGGGTCAATCAAACAACTTACAGTTAATTACCATTGCGACAACATTTCCTAATAATTTCGATGATCCAAGAAATGGTTTAATTCGCTTCCTGATTGTGTTGTATGATAACTCGAAATAAATATGTAACGTTAACAGCAAATCCACCCGCTCAGATTTATATGGATTACCCTACCTAAGTACTTGTACTAGATAGATAGCACCACCCAAGGACTTATTGCTCCCACCCGTTGGTTTTATAGGGACCTGAATAAATCCAAACATAAATCGACCTCCTCGGAGAATTATAGGACTTTTTCGCCTCGAATTATTCGCGAAGAATTCTCCGATTAAAAGATTTCCACTGTTGTTTTGACCCGAAATACTGTTTCACTGTCTGTAACCTGGGATTCCGTCCTACGCGCAGTGAGTACAACTTTAAATAACCAAGTTGTCCACCCTGCTACTGCCGCCGCCACAGCCCTCAACATCGCATCGACAACCAAGTCGCCCCGACTTTGAGGGTGGTGACGACAGCGGCAGCATGGTGAACGCATCGGTGAGCACTGGATTCAATCCAGTGCTCTATCCACTTCAAGGTGAGCTTATCCATGATGAGCCAACTGTGTTGTGAGCTCATCGTATGACAATATATTTTGCTCAAGAGTGTACCCTGCTCGAGGACGAGTGAGATAATTGCGGCGCCGAACTTCGGCATGCGAATCGACTAAGTAATACATGTCTGTGATGTGGTAGTGGTCATATGGGCATCATTTGTTGCCGTACTCTGGCTAAACGCTTACCGAGCTGTGTGTGTGAATTGCGAATAGATCTGATGGGTGGGGAAGATGAGTTTTATCCCTGGAACTCGGATATGTATGCAAACTTCCTCTGGTTCAAATACTGAAGCTCCCTGCTTCCAAAACAAATCTTCTTTTTTAATAAATTATACAAATTGTACAGTGTTCATTGTCGTGTGCAAACGTTTGTGTACAGTATTCACCCAAACAGTTATCACAGGACTTTATGGTCCGAAAGCGTTAATGAGCGTGGCGTCCACGTTCCCCGACCAGGGTCTGCACGTATATTTCACGTGACGGAACTGTGATCAGCCGAATATCAGCTGCATTCATTCTACCATATAACACCAAGTTACAATGGCCACGAAGTTAAAATTGCAGCGTCGAATTCCCCGTTTTAAGCTTTATCCGAGATCAATTTTCGTACAGATCAAATTTAAGAGCTTGAATATGCTTAGGGCATGTTCCAAGTACATATTTTTAGCAAATGAAAAAATGGTCCCAACTACAGTTTCCAACTTTTTGAGCTCGTTTTCTGCGATTTTTGACCCAACACAGTGAAAAGTCGTCCTTGCCTTTCTAAATTGTGAAAGAGAATGTGGTAAATCGATTTTGATTGGCTCATGCTTTTTCTGCAAACAACTTGGAGCTGCCACTCATTAAAAATGTCAAAATTTTGGCTCTGAAACAATTTTTACACTTGTTTAAAGTATGCGATTATTTAGGCTTCAGCGAAGTTAAATTATCATTTGACTGGTAAAGCAAAATATTCATTTTACAGTACCTCCAGGCCCTTCTCCTGGCAGCTACAATCCACTGTACATGGCGCCACCGACCTCGGGAGGGAAATCAAACAGCGGATATCTTGTCCAAATTGGTGGCGGATGGTTGCGCTTCGTACAACTCCCTGGATGGACCGGAGTCCTTTCCTCTACCATCACAGCAGCTTGCCCCGCTCTATGATTTCCTGGACCTGGATCTCGCCTTCAACCCTGGGTAGCCCCACACCATTTTCCCCAGTAGTGTAGCTTTGTCTGTATAAGGTTACCAGTAATCCAAGCTTACCAGCAATCCATCAACTTACTACTAAAAATTAATATTATTTTTTCAATGTAAGTAGTACTTGTATATTACAGTACTACAGTACACATGTTTATTTGCGGCAGACATAAAATCACCCGTGGGATTTATGCAATGAGATTTATACGGATAATGTACGGATAACAGCGAGACGTATTATCTTTACCGGCTATCAAAAGGCACCCTTGTGTCGATGAGTACTGTAACTTCCCTTCCCAAGTACAAATGACCTCGCACAATGGTACGTGCGTGAGCTCGTACATACTACTATAGTATGTATAACGTTGGCTCAAAATTCACAGTTAACGTTACAGTAACGTTCGTGCCGGTTTGGAATAATCCCCTCATTATTGTCGATTTGATACAAATTCGCCGACCAAACCGATCCATAATCGATCTGATTGGTTGAATTTCATTGAGAAGGTTTTGATTGGCTAATAATTTTGAGCTTATCTGAGGTAGCCAATCAAATCGATTTAAATTCCAACGAGAAACCACGCCACAACACGAAATTTCTCTCGAAAGCACAATAACAGTAAAACAGTTTCACTGTTGTTTTGACGCGAAATACTGTTTCAATGAGGGAATTATTACATCCGGGTACACCCTTTCGCCAGTACAGTAGCCCTGTAACCTGGGACTCCGTCGTACCCCCGGTGAGTACATACGATGCTAAATCCTCGGGGTTAACTGCATCGCTAGTGGTTAGCTATCGCTAACCACTGAGATGCACTTACCCCTAATAAGAGGTGAGGTGGTCTGAGCATACAAAGTTCCTTATGAATCTCATTGAGACAGTATTTCGGGTCAAAACAACAGTGGAACTGTTTTTACTGTTAATGAGGGAATTGTACGCCGGTTTTGCGAACAACTTCTGAGAATCGTTGCTGGTCACTAGTACATGTATCGATCAAAAGCAGAAATGGGATGTGTAAAGATGGCCGTAGAAGAACACGGTGGAACAAGCCACGAGTTTGAGTACATTCCGTACGTGCAGTGGTCATAGTGGTATACCGATACCACAATCGTGAACACGATTTCCATTCCGTCGTCGGTGAATTGAAGTCGAACGTCTCAGTAGCCACGTCATTCCCAATTATTTCCTGCAGAGGTTGCGAAGTGTAGCTTTGACTCGCCGTGCTGTTAATAATTTCAGCCAATGGTTGACTCACAGTCAAACCCAATTGCGTTTTTGTGCACGCTTTGAACCTGACCAGCATAGCACGGAATCCAATACGTGGGACAACCCTATCAATTGTAAACGCAATACTAGTACAAGAAAGTACTGTACTACTACAGTACTGTACTACAGTGAAGTGGTACACTGGACGTACGCACGTACTAGTATACTAGTACGGTACTACGAAGTAGTACAGTACTTCAGCGTCGATCTCGCTGTGTCGGCATTTCTCAAGCATAGAGAGTGGCATGGTATTCGATGCAATGGGTTTTCTTGAATTCATCAGCCCTCAATGACTCAATAATGTGCGTCGTTGACATGCGGAGATTTGGACTGCCAGCCAGCATACCAGCATACCACCACCACTGAAACTCATCAACCATCTGGCCCAAAGTCACAAAAATACGCAGCATCACTAGGTCCAAAATCTGGCGTGATTGGTCACCCGACGAGAAGGTCAGCATGAGTTGTGATTTCGATGCCGCCACAATTGATCTTGGGGAATCACCACGTGTTTTGGTGTCAGTCATTAAGGTGGTCATGTTTGGACGATTACGAGACTTGAGCACCGAAACCGTATGCGGCAAACTAGGATCACGTAGTTCCCTTGGATAAGTCTAGGTGGACGGAGCCAATACACATGTAGGGTCCTTGCACCCAAACGGCACGGTGACCTTCTCGTTTGGTTGCTATTCTCCAATCGTCATGACCACGGTCGCACGTCAAACCCATCCCTCATTCGCAATGGCCCAACCCTCAAAGTACGCGTTGGAATTCATTCTCAATGCACCCTCGCCCAACGAAAAAATGTTGTTTTCCTTCCCCACAAATTTACCCACGGCGGCGGCTCCGTCCAGGGGCTGTCGGATGCCCGACTGCGATCGCGTCGCCATCAGCCGAGGCGTGTGCATTCGTCATGGGGTACGTTCATCCTTCCCTGGCGTAGTAGTTGGCATATAGGTACTAGTATCTCAAGAAATACCACTGCTAGGGCGGTCCCCGGTGCTCCGTCGCTGGGTGTCGAAACGGTGCAAAGTCTCGACGGTTGTGCTGGAAGCACGGTACATATGTCACTATTGTTATATATATATTCGTACAAATACAGAATATTGACATCAACGTGGCGTGAATTCAGGGGGTTCAACGAAATGCACCATCGCCAGCTGCAACAACCGGTCCAAAGCTCGGGGGTTGTGCTGGTCACACGGCGGAGGCAAGCCCTGTTCTCAGAAAAACTGTTCTCGGACGGCCTTGAGTCGTGGGTTATGCTGGGCCCATGGAGGAGGTATTAGATACATACACATCCTGTTTAGGAACTTCCAATGGGCTCAGCAGATGTGTTGATATGTTGCAGGCAAGCGATGCGAGGTGGACGGGTGCAAGCGTCCTGCGTACGAGCGAAATGGAAATCGTTGTGAAGTTCACCAACCATGACCGTGTGTATCAACTCAACCGCGGGCTGTCGCTGTGAATGCCAGATCGCTTTAATTTAATCAATGCCATGTAATTACTACGCACTACAGTACTGTACTACAGTATGTATGTACTACGGGTAGCACCTCCGATATGAAATGATTGATATGGTGCATTCCATCTATAAACCACCTAAGAAATTTATGTTAACTGAAAGTCAAATACTAATTCACCCAACCTCCATTATATTTCACGTCGAATTGAAATTTGGCCATTATATTTCACCCAACCTCCGATATAATTCACCCAACCAACACTTAATTTCACCTTTCGAAAATATATTTCACCTGACCCCCGGTATATTTCATGAAAAGTAAATTAAAACCAACCCACGCAACATATCTACGACATCTACGGCTCAAGCACTAACGTCCATGTCTTCCATGTTCTCAGCACGACATAAAACGGCTCAAGGCCGGCCGTGTACACATGCAAACAATTCGGCTCAATTCCTAATTCATTGTTGAGTTAAATCTTTTAAGTCTGTCCGTCTTGCGGTGGCCCCATAAAGACCGCGACTCGTTCACGCAAAGATGTCTTTATGCGGCTCTTCAACGCCGGCCACATATTCTCGATCGGGTTCAACATCGGGGAGTACAGCCCTAGATTTAAGAACGAAGCGGTGTTGACACGTTATGTTAGCGGTCAACAGTGAGACGTACTGGAGTTTGTGGTGCAGGGAAGGCCTCTTCCACAGAGCGCAGATTCAAAAATGGTGAAAGCGCGCGAAACTCTTCGCGCGCAACTTCGATCTTTCTAACGTTAGAATCCCAGCTCGAATAATAACAACTTTTAGTAAATTATATTTTCGAAAGTTGGAATTAACCGTGAAATATATCGCTGATATTTTACATCGGCGTGAAATATAATGGAGGTTGGGTGAATTATATTGGGGATTCGGAGAAATATATCGGAGGTTGGTGGAAATATATTGAAAATAAGCTGTAATTAAACGCAAAATGGTGTAGTATTATATAGAATTATAGTGTACAGTGTATATAGTAGTACAGCATACTAGTATTTGTTTGGCGAAAGGCTCCCGAATAGGGAGATTAAATACTGTTGTAACCTCTAAGATCTTATCATTTTCTGAATTGACTGTGAAGGTGGTGTCGATGTCGATGGCAATGTCCCGTTAGAAATTATATACTACCTCCAGCCGGATTTAAACCAGCCATAAGCGAAAAAGCTGTATATTTTCAACAATATTTCAAATTTGGAAAATCCGAAAATATCAGTGTAAACAGTTTAATTCGACGAATCACAGTGGCTTGAATTCATAAAAATATGAGCAATTTTGTGTTGGGCAATATAATTTCAAAATATCATACTCAAATCAAGATAGAATTGTACGGATAAAACTAATTCTATCCGAAAAAGCAGAATGATGATTAATATTGAGCCGCAATTCGTTTGTGATTCGCGCGGTTTCCATGAAAGACCTCACATCGGACCAGTACCGCGCAGTGGTGGACCACCTCCTCTTGCGCGTTGTCCAAAAGCCATGCAAACTTCAACGCGGTGCCATAAAAGACGTGGCCCGCATCTTTGGCCGCAATCGCCACACGATCTCCGAGATTTGGATGCGTGCAAACGTATCACTTGGCGGCGACCTACCCATGCGTGAAATCGTATGCGAGGAAATCTCAAGCCAAAAGAAGGGCAGGGTCGCTCGAAAGCAAAAGTATACCGATCTACCCGCACGTATCCGAGCCGTTCCTGCTGCTCAACGTACTAATGTACGTAGCTCATGCCATTGGTATCCCTCCAAGCACGTTGAAGGACTACTATAAACGTGGACTCTTGGTGAAGTACAATTCTCATGTTAAACCTAAACTAACCGTTGTCAACAAATTGGCTCGAGTCAAGTGGGCCGTCGACTTTGTACAACCCGATCAAAACGTGTCCTTTGAAGACATGTACGATTACGTTCATGTCGACGAAAAGTGGTTCCACGCAACACGAATCAAGTCCCGACTGTACCTCTTACCTGGTGAGCGCCCTCCTCATCGCTCAACCCAAAGCAAGCGGTTCATCACCAAAGTGATGTTCCTCACCGCCGTCGCAAGACCTCGGTAGGACAACGACAAGTGCGAGTGGTTCGATGGCAAGATTGGGACGTGGCACTTCACTGAAGTTGTGCCGGCTGCACCATCGTCGCGCAATCGGCCGGCTGGGACACTTGAGCTTCGTCCTATCAACGTTACGAGGACAATTTACAAGCGCATATTGATTGACAACGTGATACCAGCAATCAAAGCCAAGTGGCCAGCGGAAGCAACTCGAAGCGTCATCATACAGCAGGACAACGCGCGACCTCACGTCTCTCCATGGGACATTGACATTGTTCAAGCCTGCACTTCGACCGGATGGTCAATGCAACTAAAGTGTCAGCCACCCAACTCACCTGACTTGAACCTCCTAGACCTTGGCTTTTTCATAGCGATCCAGGCGCTGCAGCAAACGCACCACTCGAATACCTATAAAGACATTGTGAATGCAACCACAAAGGCGTGGCGCGATGTCGAGCCATGGTCATTGGAACGCAACTTCCTTACCTTACAGTGTTGCCTCTGTGAAGTTATTGCGTGTGCTGGGGACAATTCCTACAAGATTCCTCACATGAAGAAGGCAGCGTTTAAGAAGTGTGGACGTTTGCCTGAGTCGGTGCAGTGCAGCCACGATGTCGTTGATGCTGGCTGCACGTTGTTGGCCCAGCACGACTTGGACAGCGTCATGCGTGAATTGTCGCTGCAAACTGCCAATGACTTGGAAATGAGTGAGATCTTCACTGCATTGGAATCGCTTGAGATCAGTTGCGAGGATGAGAAAGGAGTGTAGGTTTTGCATAAAAAAATAATTCTATATGAGTTTCATTATGACCTGTCACTATTTTACACCGCTATTTGTATTGAATTGTATAATTATTTAATATATTATGGGGGTCTCTCGTGTGGCGGGTTTATTTCCGACTTTTACAAATTTCGAAATGGCAGGTTTAAATCCGGCTGGAGGTAGTACTACTCTGGTCCGGAATAGTTGTCCCATTGTTTTTGGATTGGCGGATTTTTTCTAGTATTTGTTCAAATGGCGTGATGATTGGTGCAATGGAAAGCGCAAGATCTCTATTTTCATTGGTTACTTTCTGCATGTTCTGAATTGCATTTGCTCAAAAGTTGTGGGCAAGCAAAGTGAGCGGGAACAAATCTGACACACAAATCAACCCGTATAGGACTCATTCTCAAAGTTGTCGCGTTCAGACTTCGTGCACCATACACAGAGCCACTAAGGAGCACCAAAAACACGGCTGCGCCTCAGAACGATTCGAATGGCGTCTCAAAGTGGCACTCGCCACCTCACGCCAGCCGAGCGACGCACTGCCTACGAGCTGCTCCTACAGAGCCCGTTCAATGGCCGCCTTAAGTACGGCGCATTAAAGGACTTTGCTGCCCACTTGAAGTGCCACTGGAAGACTATATCGCGAGTGTGGAAGCGTGGACGGCACTCGCTCTCCAACGGGTCACCGTATGCCGATGTCGCCTCGAAACTCGAGGGTAAATCCTCCAATACATTATATTTCACATTCAAATCATTAAATTACACAATTATTGATAATAACAGGAAAACGACTTTAGGCAATTCGGGTCGAAAAAAGTCACGTTTGGCTGCTGATTTCGAGGGCGCAATCAAGAGTGTGCCAAAGCACCAGCGTCAAACCCTCAGTTCTCTTGCGGCACCGAGTGGACTTCCGAAGACGTCCATCGTCCGTCACATGCAAGAGACCAAGAGGCTGAAATCCCGAGCCAGCTACATCAAGCCCATGCTCACTGAAGACAACACAAGGGCGCGTCTCGACATTGCCAAGTCTTTTGTTCGACATTTGCCAAGTGGAAACCATGCTTTCGTCGACATGAACGAGTATGTTCATGTAGATGAGAAGTGGTTCTACTTGACAAAAGTCAAGCGAAAGTTTTATGTCTACGACGATGAAGAAGTGGCCTTGCGCCTTGCGTGCGGCGCAGTCCAAGCAGTTCATCACCAAAGTTATGTTCTTGGCAGCGGTGGCCCGGCCTCGATTCGACCACACGAAGAAGGCGTATTTCGACGGCAAGGTTGGTGTGTGGCCTTTCGTCGTTGTCCAGCCCGCCAAGCGAAACAGCAAAAATCGCGCGAAAGGGACCCCCGTCGTCGTCCCACAAGTTGTGGATGGCGAAGTTTACAAGAAGGTCATCATCGACAAGGTTGTCCCAGCCATTTTGGAACGATTCCCACCTCGTGCCCTGTCCCGTGGTGTCGTCATACAACAAGACAACGCGAGCCC